AAAAGATAAACTCAGGCCATTCAACAGCAACATGGATGGAGCTGGAAGGGGTGATGTTCAGTGAAATAAACCAGAAAGAAAAATACCAGATGGTTTCACTCTTGAGAGGAATGTAGAGGATCCAAATAAGTGATCAGGAAAAAAAAAAAAAAGAAAGAAAGAAATTATAATAAGCAAATATTGAAATCAACAGGCAACGATAAACCAGAGACATTCTACAGTGGGGGAGAGGTGAGTAGGATCAAAACAGGAATGGCAAGAGCACAAGGGACTGGTGTTGGTACATGGGTAGACTGGTGATGGGAATTTTATGGGGACTATAACCAAGATGAGAAAGCACACATTGTACAAAAATGAAAAATGATGAAAAAAAATACAATATTAAAAATAACTTTAAAGATATATTGAACAACTACTAAGGAGAATAAGGATTTGGATCCATAAAATTCTCACTGTGCAATTTACCATCCTTTCATACACACTGCCCTCCCCTACTTTTTAAATATAATTTAGATAAAAATGAATATTCATTAACAATACTATGACTGTAAATATTTGTAACAAGCCCTGTAAAAAAAAATACAATGCATGTTTTCTTTTAATGGCCTTGATTGGAGGTTGGTGTGTATTAAACCAAGGACCCCCCCCCAAAATCTTCAAGAGGACATATATGCTGCGTGGGATTAAATAATAAAAGTGGATGAGTGACTTGAAAAGCCCAAGATGCAACTGCCAGCCAGAACTCACCCATCGCTAACGTTAAATCACAACTAAAAAACACCCTTGATGATCCTGCACACCAGAAGCCCACATGTGCAAGTGACTCCACCTCCACGGCCACGTGTGGCGTGAGATGCCACATGTGACACTCACACTGACACCGATTACCCAGCATGCCGGGCATTGCAGACAGGGTTGGAGCAGCGTTCTGGGAACGGAAAGACCAGGGAAGGGCTGGAGGAGCACCTGGTCTTGCCTGGGAGCACAGGGACAAGAAGCCTCAGTGACTGCCATGCATTGCTGTATATGAAACGCAGTATCTGGATGCAAATCAAAACTGTCCCCTGAATGGGAGGCTGTTGGTATTTATCTAAACAAAGCAAATATAGGGCTATTGGGGAATCGATCAATTCTTGTGCTTTTCAACTTTCAGTCAGGTGTGTCATTACGGGGGTGGACGGACAGAACCTCATGGAGACACAGCTCCTGGCGGCACTGCTAACTCTGCACATTCCAACTCAAGACCATCTTACAGTCAGAGCTCCAGCAAAAGTGAATTGCTATTGATGACATCCTGAAAGAAATGGAAAGGAACTTGTAGGCATTGCATATTTTCATGTAACATGCATCCTGACTAATAGCAAAAGACTGGTCACATACATGGGTGTGCAATTGGGAGATGGAAGGCCCATGGCTGATGAGGCATCTGGTGGGTGATGACACTGCCAGGGCCAACAGGTTTCTGTGGGCAGCTCTAAAAATGGGTAAAATCTAAACTTCCACAGAAAAATGTCCGATGTTATGGCAATTCCATCTCAGTAAAGTCAGCAGTGAAAGGAGAGGGGGTTGAGAAAGGTGACTGGGGAGGGCCAGAGGCAGCCACAGAGGGGAGGCCAGCTCAGTATGGCCAACACAAAACTCAGACCGTTACTTTCAGTAGAGCGCTCAAACAGACTCTTTCCAATTTGACATTTTTCTCATTTCTCTCACAAAAAACCCAGGCAGGTCTTTTTGTCTAAAAGTAATATTACATATGCCTCTTACATAGTCTGGTAGGCTGATTTTAATTACTGACATGGTCATGTTTTATTATTGTTAGATAGGTCCATGCAGTTATGGCTTCAAGACAAAGTGTCACTGCAAAGTGACACGACCCTTGAAGCTGCATGACCCCCTGTCTGGTCAATGCAGCTGGGATAGCTGCAGTGGGAGCTGGGAGAGGACACAGCGGGCCTTGGCGAAAACCTGGGCCTCAGGGTCTGCAGGGCAGGGACCCACCCAAAGTTGAAGAGGCACATGCCAAAATTTCCCTCGACAAGGTGGGTCTAGCGTTACACCCATCAGTACAGTGTGCAATCTCTCCTGCTAATTTAAAGAGTTGGTTTTCCAGAAATGGAGAAGCAGTGCCTTGAAAAAGATGGGATTTTCTTGAAATAGTGATTAATTGATTTAATCACTTCAGAGATTCTCAGAAAAACATCAAAACCTATGTTGTCTTGGAGGTGGACGGGGGGAGACCATGCTACACAAATAAGGACGTGAACTCTTGTTTCCTTATTTAAAAAAAAAAATCACCTAAAATATAAATTAAAAATTCTTATCATAAAACATGGAAAATTTAGCGACGAATTAATTACCAGTTTAAGCTAATAAAACTATATGATCTGATAGTAAGCATTAAATTGTTCCATAACTTGTACAAAACTCATGAATTTAAAAAATGCTCATAAAATCTGTTTCCTATGAGGTTAAGGTATTTCTTGCATCAAACCTGCAATAGGATATATATGTCAGTTTAAGTCATCTAAAGTGAACCTCTAGCCTAGTGGTGAATCTGGGCCCACTATTTACATCTCTAATCTTGAGTACAATGGCCATTTCTAAAGCCAGTGGCACCTCCATTATTTGAAGTGAAAGAATTGAAAACAAGAGCATGTCACTCATGCATACTAACTAGCTTCAGAGTTACAAAACGCAATAAGCACAATACCATAGAAAGCCCCAGAACATGTGAAAATGGGGCTCTTGCACTCTGACACACCCTTTTAGACAGCAACATCAAAAGGGATCAAAAGCCATAAAGATGTCCACACTTTCAACCAGGGGACCTCACTCCTGGGAAGGAGGTGACCGGATGAGATGCTGACAGTACGAGGGCATCCCAGCAGCATCTGAGGACATAGCAAATGATGGAAATGGGTGTCAGAGGCTGGAAAGCCAAGCCTGGTGCCAGGACAACACCTGAAACAAAACTTAGGCTGCAGCCACCTTTAACAATGAAAATGACAACAGGAGTGACATGGAGTGTCTGTGAAGCAGCACGAATGGTTTCCACAATGCAATGGCTATGTGTCCATGGAAACAAGAAGCCACAGTGACTGCCAATATGAAGACAGTGGTGATTTCTGTTTATTATTAACTTTCAGTCATACTGACATGTCACCTTATTAAATTGCTGGGGTTTTAATTCCTCATACCATTTCTGTTCTAGATACTATAAATCTTATTGGTATAGAGAGTTCATAACCTTAGGGGTGAGGTGCCCTGAGAAATCACTTAACCTCTGGGGACTCACAGACCCTTCAGGTACCTTTGAAAAGGTCCAAACAAGAGCAAGTGAGTGGAGGTATTGCTTCTTTCTCCTCCTCTTCTTCTTCTTCTTCTTCTTCTTCTTCTTCTTTTTTTTTGGTGTACATTTGGCTATGTTTTTAAAAGATTTTATTTATTTTTGCATTGAAGAACTGGGGTGCAGGCCAAAAGTGTGGGGGGTAAGAGGATTCACCAAAGACAGAGTGGAGAGCAGAACAGGCAGGTCTACTGAAGCCCACTACTGAGGGGAGCAATGGGCGAGACAGGAGAAGTCTGCTGTACCATGTGGGTCAGCTCCCTAGCTGGGGCTTAGTAGTAGTGCTGAGACTTAACCCCTAGTAGTGCTGAGACTTAACCCTTAGTAGTAGTGCTGAGACTTAACTTAAGCCCCATTTTGGCTATTATGCTCCTCCAACTCATTACCACTACCTGTTTCCCCAAACATTTGTAGGGTGTTGAATATGCACATAAATTTCCATACCGCATCTTTTGATCCCAATCAGTAGGTTGATCCATGAATCAGACAAGGAAAATATTAGAGAGCCAAAGGCTGAGGTTTCCAAAAAGGAATTAAGGTAAAATCAAAGGAAGGTAGGCAGAAGATAAACTGAAATGAATTAAAAAAAATCTTTGGCAAAATCAAATAGCTGCAGCAGAGGCCAGAGGATGGTGGAAATAAGCACAGCAGGTAGGGCTACACTAGGGAGTAAGGGAGACTGTGGCAAACTCAAAGCTCACCCTGATTCACTGCACCACCTATTCCCACAGCTCCAGCAGATGCTGACAGGTGTAAATGCAGCTCCCCAGGGCTGCCAGATACTCTGAGTCATGCCAGGGAGGCCAGAAATCTAGATGTTCACATGAAATCGCTGAGTGTCAAGCAGTTGACAACTAATTTTTAATTAATCTCAATTTTTTTTTGCTCCTTGTGGTAGCCAAATAATACTTTCTGTGGGCTGAGCTGTTTCATGGACATCCCATGTGCCACCTCTGACCTCTACTTAGCATGCAGGGATTTGTCAGAAAGGATGCTCCTTATTTGCCCAAGTCACATTTCCAATGGAGGCCTCTTCAAGAGCAAAACTGGAAAAGAAATGAAAAAGAAGAAAGAAAGCAGGGAAGCTGGACTCAGTGGTACACATGTCGGCCAGTAGCGGCGTGCACATCGTGGGCATGATGGTTTCAGAGCCGAGTGCTCACAGGGAGGACCTGTGAGCACGTCACAGCCACTTTCTGTGTCATGACTGAGGGGATGTTCTGAGTCGCTACAAAAGGAAATCAGCCCAAGAGGCTTTTTATGAAGATGGCTCCCTTTACAGAAATTGCATTACACGTGATTGGAACAGAATGATGAACTTTGCCTGGGATGAGCTGCTATGAGCTGCCAAGCTGCAAACAGGCCCTGGGAGAGTGTCCTGGCCACACCTGTGTCTGGCTTCCCTTCATCTGCCCGTTCCCACCAGCTCCCCCTCCATCCTGGCTGTTTCCAGGGGGGTCCTGAGGGTATAGCAGGGATGCACCCTGGCTGAGAAGGGGGGGAGAGGCAGGAGCATGAGGGGGTCGGGCTCTGTGCTTCGCTGTAAGGATTGTAGAAGTTCAGGGTCCGGGGGTAGGCATTGGGGTGGGAGGACAGGGAGCTGTCTACTCAACTCATCATTTGCGTCACATGCACCCAAGGAAAAAATGTTTACCTGGTGGAGCCACGGTTAACCTTTTTTCCTTGCTGAGCCGGTGCCCCTGGATGAATTCACTCATGGAAGGGGGGCCCTTCAGAAGAAATGACTCTGTGGAGGTGGGACCAGGGGCAACGCTTAATAAACTCTGTAGGTAGGAAGCCCCTGGTGTCCTGGGACGGCTCTGATCACAAAGGGAAGGTGAAAATTGTCTTGCAGGAGATCCAAGAAAATACATATAGGAAACAAAAAAGTTTTACTTTAATTACCTTTCAAAGCCTCACCAGTGACAACATTATTTATACTGGCAATTGCATTTTTTTTAACATGTCAATCAAGCTTTTGGCAGTTTTGTTTCCACACCAGGACACAGCCCTACTTGGGGGCTGCATCGTCTACCAGAAGAGAGAATGGCAAATGAAAAATATTTATATTACTTGGTTCTTTACGGAAAGTTTCCTAAAAATAAAAATGCTACCCTTAACCGAAAATACAAGGCAAGTAACACAACACTAGAGACTACTGTAGAAAAAAGACTACAAAATCAAGTCATTAAAAAACTCAGAGGTGATGTCTCTGAGCAAAAGCCACAGACCAACTGAAAAGGCACAAACCCTGTTGTTAAGAAAAAGACAACACGTGGCTCCATCCCACGTGACCGAAGGATACAGAAGCCATTGGCTTTGGGAACAGGGGCAACAGCTCCCCTAAGCGAACATGATCATCTCCTGCCCGTTGGAGGGAAGCTGAGGAGCTACACCATTAGCAGGGCTTTTCAAATGCTCCCCCCATAAAACACAGCTTTATCTTAGGGTCCGCCTTGCAGGCTGGTGGTGGGAACAGGCACGTTATATTACGCATACAAGGAGCAGCCCAGACGCTGACCAACACTTGAAAATGGTATTGCGGTGGGGCAGAGTTGGGGTGCAGGGGACAGAAAAGAACTCATAAGCACAGGGATCAGAAAGTAAAACCATCCCCATCACAGCCCCGCGCCCACCGGCTCCCACTTTCTCCCCCGTCCTCCGAGAGAGCACATTCATCTTTGCAGGACGCGGCCAGCCGGCCCCTGCCCCGGCCGCGGAGATCGCTGCGGGCGTACCTTTTCCTCTGAGCGCCACTGCCGACCCGCATGCTGGGTGTCTGTGGGCCCTGTCTATGCAGGAGGCACGCGGCGGCTACGGTAGGCACGGTGACGGACGCCTCCCCACTTACTTTAGGGCTGCCGATCTTGCTCTTTCCCAGTTTGCCTTTGTTGCGCCGGGACTGCTCGTGGTCAAACTCTAAGTCCTCCAGCCGCTGGGTCAGGGCAAGCTTTTGCTGGATCGCCATGCGCAACAAACTGTTTAGAGTCTTCTTCTCATCCTCTGCTGCCGCTAACTGCCTCTGCATCTCATCCAGCTGTGTGACATACTCGTCGCATCTGGAACCAGAATGGAAAGGCGGTCAGAAGCAGACCCTGGTGAAGCAGAAAGTGGTGCTGAAGCTGACAAATGGTAAGTGGGGTGAGGATTTAGGACCCTGTCTCCCTGGAGCAGAATGGAGGTCACTGGGGACAGTCTTCATAAGTGACACTAAACCCCAGGGATGGATGGAGTCACGTGGGGGTGGGGCGGGGGCTCTTCCACAATGTTGGGGGAAGAGCAAAAAATCTCCTGTAAGGTTCGTGGTTGTCAAGTTACCATAGTTTTTTCTACAGTGTAACTCTGTATTCTTGTATACAGAGTACAGACTGGAGTCCCTTACAGTCTGCCTGGAGTGGGCCAAACAATAACAATCTTGGGTCTTCCTTGGTGGTGCAATAGTTTAAAATGCAGCACTGTGAAGCTTGCTGCAGCTGCTTCAACATGAGTTCAATTTCCAGCCAAGGAGCTGACCCACATGGCATTGCAGAACTCTCCTGACCCTCCTGCTGCTCCCCTCAGCAGTGCACTTCATTGATCTGCTTGTTCTGCTCCCTACTGTCTCTGGTAAAGCCTCTCACAGCCCCTGCACCTCTGACTTTTGCCCCAATTCTGTATGAATAAATAAATAAATCTTTAAAAAAATCTTCATAAAGAAAACAGCCCCTTCTCTATATTTATGGGTTTCATTTCAGTGTAGGCCACAGCTACCACTGCTCCCTCTGGGGCGGGTTTGCCTGAGGAGGAGCTGAGCATGGTCAGTGGTGTCCCCAGCAGATGGGAAGCAGTGGGGAGTTGGGACAAAGCAGGACTCCTGGGGTTGCTACAGAAAGGAGGCTGCAGGAGGCCTGCTTGGGATGAGCAGCTGGAGGAGGAGCTCAGACATCTGCTCTCCCAGCAGCAGTCTGACCTGAGCATTTGTATTAGTATTTGGAAAGAAGAATCACTCACACCATTACTCAGAGCACTTAGCCACTATGACCGTAATGACAGACACGCTTGATACACCAGCACACGATTACTGACTTCATAGCCTCATTCCAGATGGACTATAGGAGCTGAAATATGCACAAGTCTCGCAGGCATGTAAAGGAACATCAGAGCTGGTAAAGGAAGCTGAGATCCATAAGCACCCCGATCTTCTGTAACCTTGACAGTCAAGAAGCCCAGGAGGACTTCATGAGAAAACAGAAAACTCAAGGCTTACTAAAATGCAATGTGGATTTCAGGACCTGGATTTCTTTCAACTGGTCAGATAACAATATCTTCCAAAAAAAAAAAAAAATCTATGGAATAGGACAGCTACTAGATCCAAGGAAACATGAAAATACACTATTTGGGGTGATAATTTGCATAGAAAACCAGATCAATGATTTCAGTGTTCCTTTTAAACATGTGTCCAGTTCTTTTCATGTGGCTTGATCTGATTTCTTTACATTTCCTTGATCTACATGACATCCTGTGATGAGCTTCAGGGCTGACCCCCCCCGCCCCAGTCCCCCAGGACACAGCTCTGGCACAGAGATTATTGTTTGTCTTTAGTTGCATTGTTTTCATCAAGGTATCAGACTTATAACACCATTTATGATCTACTTGTTCAGATGCATGTCCTCACATCACACCACAATGAAGGGTCCCAAATTAATACTCCGCCACAGTCCCTTGGGGCCTCTCCCCCGTGCTCACTCTTTCCTTTTTGATAGCATCAGTTCTGCATGTAAAGTTACTCTGACCATCCCACATCCTTGCAAACAGGAGATGAATCACCCCTGTGAAAGGTACCCTGCCTGGACCAGGGGGCAGACAGACAGACTGGGAACTCAGCTGCCTTGGGTGCCTCATAGATGAGTACCCAAGTCCAAGTATCTTCTCAGTTCTTTAACCTTTTATTTCCTTGTAAAAAGGTGTAGTATGTACACATTGATTATTCTTCTGGTTCACCTATTTCTAGGACCCCAGTATGAAATTAAACTTTTTCCTCTTGTTAATCTGTCTTTTATTAATGTAACTATCAGACCAGCCAAAGAATCCAGAAAGGGAAGAAGGGAAATTTTTCTCCCCTATACCTGACTGCTTACCTTCCTAAAGAAGGGGGGGCATGTACCCTTCCCCTCTCACCTGCCCCCCCCCCAGCCAGCCAGGGGTATGCAAATTCTACTCTCCAAGTTCTCCTTACCCTGGGGGTCCCATCCCTATGTCCTGGGGCTCAGCCAAATAAGCATGAGCTTGCTTTTTTCTCTTTTGACACTCCTGGGCAGCTGGACTGATGCAGGGTTCTTACCACACACAGGGCTGGTTTCCCCATGCTGACAGCACCACAGTCATGTATTTACTGGATGTGCAAATAAAGCTATTAGTGATGCTTCATGAACTTTCCATCAAGTGTGTACCACACAAGACAGACAAATATTCTGGGTTGGGATGTTTTGGGCACTTAATTGTGAGAATAAGTCAATGGATTTCAAAACTATTGAAAATGTCAGGATTTGGAGACCGGAATCAATACATTCTTAACAGCTTAAAAACAAGATACAGAGGTGCTTCCTAACGGGGCTATAACAACTGATAAGCTGGGCAAAGTGAAATTTGTGAAATGTGGCTGCCATGTGATTGCATTATAGAAGTTACAGTTTAAGTCACAGTGCATTAAAGTCTAAGTAATTAGCTGCTAAGATGAATATTCATCTTTGTGGTATAGACCCCTTTTCCCCACCAGGCATATGACAAGCATTTTAAAGCACTTTAGTCACAGAAGCAAATGTCAGTGGATCACCCTAGCTATTTAGGAAGTGGGTTGTTTTTCCTTACTGGAGACCACTTGTCTCATTCCTTTGAGCACAAAAGCTCTAGAACAAAACATCTAATACGCTAGCTCAGAAGGACCGCTCTGTGGGAGAGCGGCTGCACCCCCGCGTGTCCAGCAGGGGGCTCGGAAAACAAAGCCAAGGTTTCAGGTTTGTGTAGACTATCACCCACCGCCAGAGGGCTCAGCGGGTAAGTGCAGGTCTCAAGAAGCCCAAGTGCCACAGAACCTGGGGTGGAGTTAAGGGAGGATAGGGAGTTGGGGGGAGTTGGGGGGAAGGGCGGGGGGGGAGGGGGTTAGCCGGTACCTGGTTGCGAACATGGCTCTTAGGGACGAGAAGGTCGCGGCGTCTTCTTTCAAAGCCTTCAGTTCGTTCCTCAGCTTCGTCATCGTTTCAGTCACCATCGCCTTTTCATTTTCGTATTTGTTCTTGAGGTTCGCCAGGGCCACCTCCGCCGTCTAGGGCAGAGAAACCACCGCGCTTAAATGACATCCTGGACCCCGCCGCGAATCTGCCCGTAGCCTCCACGCGCGCCCTTCACCCGCGAGGGCTGGGCTGGTCTGGCTACCCCGGCCGCACACCGGCTCTCTGCGCACCGCACCCGCCGGCTCTTCTTTACGGTTTAAGTGCGCGGTGAATTTGCCCCCAGACAGCTGAGCCCTAAGTCCGGAGCAGGAGCTCGGTGATCAGAGCAGGTGGAGGGATACTTAATGTAGGGTGGGGAGTGGGACTTTCAGACCAGAAAGGGAGCCAAGAGGAAGCCTGATGATCCAAGGAGAATGTCAGCAAAAAGAAGCGAGTGAAGAAGCAGTTTTCACTGACACATGATAAAGCTCAAATACTCTGTGTGCCCTGGGCTCTGTGGGCCTGAAGTGGACAAGCCATTGCTCTGGTAACAGACTGTACACCCGTGTCTAAGGGCCAGTGAACAAAGAGCCAGTCTTTGCCTGGGTCTTTGTATATGCTTCCTCAAACTGAGGAATGAGAGTGAAACTTAATTTCTCATCACCTAAGAAAGCAGGGATGACAAAGTATGCATTATAAGTATTGAATTTGGAGTGTTCGCATGCCCAAAGTTCTTAGAATGAATGGTGTGTCAAATTGACAGCTAGTCTGACACAGAGTAGGATACAAAGCACATATAGTAGGGAGCAAAAAATAATAGGCATGAGATCCATGCATTTCTGGGGGCTACCTGCTGTATCTGGAGCTCCCAGAATGAGCCTGGAAGCCAGATGGAAATGGTGTTTTTGCAAACTGTCAACTACACCTTTCAAAGCACATAAAATATGTGACACTAACCAACAGTCCCTTATGGATGAAAACGAAGATCTATTACTAGTGAGGTTTCTCAGGAAAGTGACTCTGCTTTTTGACATTTTCTTCTGTGCCGGTAAAGGACAGATTCAACTTTCGGGTGCAGAGTGCCAGCATCTAGAAAGATGACATCCCCTTTCCATCAGGACAATGCTGGGGTGGAGCAGGGACATTAGTTAGCGTCTTGATCCCAAACCCCTCTTAGGGACTGAATTCAAATCCAGGTTAAAATGAAAAGCCACCCTATAAAATACTTTGATATGTGTGTGGTGCTGTGAGTCAGTGGGGTCTTCAGGAAAATGAGAGATGCAGAAAATGACCCAGAACACAGGAAGTGACCTGGGAAGGGGGGAGAAGGGATGGCAGTTGTTTGTTAAAAGTTTAGACAGATATTCATTTAGAACAGAGCGAAGTTCCAGTTGTGAACATGTGATGCGACATATTTATTACACAGAGATGTATGCTCCATTGTCTGAGGGGAGCGGGAGGGTTGGCAGGAGAGTTGGCAGGAGACCTGGAACAGAAGCATAAGGTCATTGACTATGCATGAGAAGTGCCCCGAGGGTGCAGCTTTGTTGGGAGATTTGTTTGTCCACAGCTGCACACGGCTTTCTCAGAAGTCAGTCTTTCCAAGCATCTGTGACCTAGCAGGTCTTTGGGCTTCTGCCCATCCCACATCCTCACCCCTCCCCCTGCTAAGCTGACCTTCCAAATACAAATATCTGTAGTCAGAGGCCTTCACAGTCATCCATGGAATGTACTACCCTCCTCTGTGCCCACTACCCACTGATCCTTCACAATGGAAGGAGCTCCTCTTCTGGAAAACAGCTCTTTACCATTTAAGGACGGACTCATATAGAATTGTTTCTGTGTAGCATCTTCTAATATTTCTAGGAAACATTAGCCATTTGCCTGCCTCCAATGTTCCCAAGCTTGATAGCATGTGTGACATAAACTGGGGTCATCTGTTTTGATTCTGACACTCCCCTGCTCTGTGAGCCCTCTTCTGGAAGGCAGGGAACATGTATTACACTTATAAATCTTTAGCAACTGGTGCAGCTTAGTGCAGGGAAGACACTTTACTAACACTTGCTTACTTCATCAGGAGATACCATGCCTACAAAAAAAAACTTCCTGGATTATATTAAAAGATGCAGGGAGAATGGACAAGGTCTGTTTTTTTAAAGGAAGGCTTGCCTCTCCTCTATGCCACAGAATTCTCATCTTAGCCTTAATAATTAACATCCTACCATCTTTAAACATAATGGATGTTCACTGGGACATACTTGAAGCTATTTATAGCACATAAGCAAGTTGCAAGGCCCGCCATCGCAGAGATGCTAAATGAATGCAGTGTTAGAGAATGTCAAATAAATGCCATGCTTCACCAGCTGCCAGGGCTGTGACTAGAATACAAAGCAAATGACACCACAACCTACTGCGACAATAAAGCAATCCAGCAGGGCTCTGCTCAAGCCTGAATTTCTCTGACACTGTTTTCACCACTTGCAAGGAATGACTCACCCTGTCCTGTAAAAGCCAGAACCAGAACTCCTCCTGGAGACCTGTTACTTGTTACCTTGTGGTTGGTGCAAATCTACACCTACGTCTCAACCGTGTGTCTTGACACTTCAGAGCTCCAGGAATCCAGACTGTCAGTGGAATGTGGGCCTTCCGGAAGCAGTCCAAGGACTGATTTGGATGTCTTTTTATATATATATAAAAGATTTATTTATTTATGCATTCAGAATACTGCTGGCTGGGGTACAGGCCAGCAGTGCAGGGGTGGTAAGAGGATTCACCATACCAAGTGGGGAGCAGAACAGGCAGACTGATGAAATGCACTGCTGAGGGGAGTAGCGGGCAGGTCAGGAAAAGTCTGCCATGCCATATGGGTCACCTCCCTGCTTGGGGATGGAAGCGGCTATGGCCAGCTTCATAGTGTGCACTTTAACACACTGTGCCACCAGGGAGGGCCCTGATTTGAATGTCTTGATGGAGACCTAGACACATGCCCTTGAGCAAGGGCATGTATGCCTCATTGGCTATGCTGGGGGTTATTTATAGACAAAGCCTGGGATCTCCAGGTGGAGCAAATTTATGATAGTTTGTGAGAATTAGTTCTGACCTCAAATTGGAGTCAGATCTCTATGAAATTTTTCATTCATCCTAATCTTTTCTATGTCCCTGAAGTGAATGGCACAAAATAAGGTCCCATTTTGCACTTAGGTTCTGATCAAGCATGTTTATAGAACAAACATTATTACTATCTGTGGTCCTCCAAATTACTGGGTTGCCAAAATGCATTATTACATAGAAAACATAGAAAAAGATGCCATGACTTTTTGGACAACCCAATGGAACAGTAGATTTATGGAAGCTAAAGATAAAGTGCTAAAAAACACCACAGTAGATGACCTTGTTATAGGTGGGGGGAGGAGGGTGAAGGGATTCTCCCCAGAAAAAGTCAAAAGGAGAAGGAAATCTGAATGGGGCAGCTGCACTCAAGCTTTCACACAGGCATTCCCAGGGAGGTAATGGGTATGTCTATGTATCAACAGCCTTTATCCAGCACCCTCTCAAATGTATTTTTCTTGGCTCACTTTTCAGAAAAACTCAAGAGAGGTTAAAATATTTCCCTGCCTTTCTTTCAGAGCACTCCCACCCAAGTAAAGCTCCAAGTGGAAAATAAAATCAGGATCAAGAAGATCTAGGAGCAGATCAGTGCAGTCAGATCCTGGTGTCCCAAAGTACTCCAGAAAGATAAGCTGTGTGGTCGGGGAAGCGTCTCTGCTACCTAATCGTTGGCCCAGGTAAATTAACATCCCAGTGGGGCCTAAATTTCAGATTGGTGGTTACTGACAGAGCTGGTATAGCTCTCCCTCTCTCTCCATCCCTCCCTCTCCTATCTTTTTCTACATGGTTCCTCTCTGCCTGCCAGGGTGTCTTTCCTGCAGCATCTCCCTGAGGCTAGCTGTCATATCAACTTATTTCCACCGATCTATCTTCTCTTTCCACCTGCAATGACTGTTGGCTCCAGCAAAGTCCCCCTGAACAGCCTCGTATGCATCTGCACAGATCTCCTCCTTATCCCTGCTCTAACTTCCTCATCTTTGCCTCCACCAAGTGAGCACAGCTATTCTCCTACATCATCCATTCACTTAAAGTGACTCCATTCTCATGTCACACTAGAACATGGTCTGTTCCTCCACTGACCAGACCAAGAATCTGAACTGTCATCCTCCATGCATCAAGAAATAAACCAGTTCAGGAAGCATCTGCTAGCAGGGGCTGTTAGGGGAATGAGATCACCTGTTTGTTAGCTTTTAACACTGCTCTCAATGTGGCTATCTGCTCCCGTTTGGTGCTCAGCAGAGACTTGAGCTTAAGGATCTCTTCCATTAAGGCTTCCTTGTCCTTGTCAATCATGGGGGCCAGTTCCCGTGCTGCTGCCCTTTGACGAGACAGTTGCAAGGATCGATCCACAGCTTTTTGTAGATGCTTGATTTGGTCCCGAATTATGGCATTGAGGTTGTAGATATTCATTGGCTCTTTGCGGATATCACTTGTGTCCAATACTGGAGATGATGGTGGGGCAGTAATAACAGGAGAGATGGTGGGGGTCTTGGTTGGACTTGGCTCTTTGCTGGCCTCTGTGTTTTCTTTTGACACAGGTTCAGATGAGGTCCTTGTTTCTACGGGGGATGACACACCCCGCCTGGCTAACCGTGGAGACAACAGTCCCCTTGGGTCATCAGGCCCTTTCAGGCTGCCACTGCGGGTGACTCTGCTCTGCCTGTAGTAGTCCAGCATGACCCTGTTAGGGGTTTCATTGTTACACAAACACACATGGTGGTAAAGCTGAGCAAGTTCCTCACTAAATGTCACCAACTCATCCTGGGCGGTGTTGAGTGTATTGTGATTTTCGTTGGCAATGCTGGTCATCTTTTGCAACTCCTTCTCTATGTGGGCCATCTTCTCACCACTTTCCTTGGTGGTCTTCTCGAGGCTTGTCACCTGCTCATCATACATCTGGATCTTACTCTCATACTTGGTCTTCTCTTCTGTGTAGTTTTCTACTGACTTATTGTATTTCTCTTTTAAGGCCTTAATCTCAGCTTTCAAGTCAATAACCTCTGTCACCGCCACCCGGTATTTGCACTCCAAGATTTCTAAGCCATTGATGTCTACCTCATAGTCGTGGGCCTCCTCCCCAGAGTCCCGGCCCTTCTCCCCATCCAGCTCTGCCTTGAGCTCCCTGCTGCTCTGCAAGCTCCTCATGGCATTGACATGCTCTGTAAGCAGGTGCACCCGCTCATGCTGCTCCGTCAGTGCCCCCTTGGTGTGCTCCAGCTGCGTCTGTGACTCCTGGAGATTGGCAAGGAGAATAGCCTTTTCCCGCTCTACCTGCAAAGACAAAAGAGAGCTCTGAATGACTCCAATGCAAGGCACTAGTGAGTTCAACCCATCACAGTTGGGAGCACATACATTTAAAGAAATGGCAGCAGAGCCAGAGTCCCCATTATTTGAAATTGAATTGGAATGTGTTTTCTTACTTGAGCAGTTCCAGTAAGTCAATCGATCTAAAAGTACATCATTCTAAGAGAATTAAGCTATGCATATTTACCCATCCAGATTCTCATGCATTATACACAGGGGCTCATGAAACTTGAATGTTATTCAAACATTCTTACTTTTTAAAAATCAATTCACAATAAATTTATTTCACATAAAAGAAAAGGCTTGCCAATATTGAAAAATTCAGTAGAAAACGGAATTGCTTTAACTTGGAGCTCAAAAGTGTAAGGTGATTAGTGATTCTTCAGGAGGAAAAATTTTGTAAAAAATATGTTGCCATAAGGGCCTAGCATAGATTCTGTAATGAAATATTCACCATATAACATTAGTGGCAGAAACGTCAGTTTCTGATGACTGGTGTTGTCAGTCTCTTAAGATATTAACAGGGAAGAAACTCAAACTTATTGTTATTTTTTAACACCTTATATATTTCAAGAGCCTGGCCAGTGAGTCAGCTCTGCTCCTTAGTTCACACAATTTTAAGAAGCTGTCACAAGTTACCTACAAATCATCCTTTACTTCTCAGAAAAGTTCAACTTGAAGTCAGGTTTAAAATCTAAGACTCTAACTGCTAAATAATGCTGAGAATCTTAACCATGCCCTTAAAAAACAGCATATAATATTAGACATGCATCCAATGTATCAGCTAGTAATACAACAGTCAGAGCATATAAAGTTTTAGAGATAAGAGATTCAAATCATTTCAATTCCTTGAGTCCAAAACAGGAATTTTAAAAGTCAGCAATACATCTGACTACCATGAGAGTTTTGTTATAACATAGGTGATAAGTATTATGGTACACTGAAAAATATTCAGGTGTCTCATGAAAGTACTTCTCATGAAACATAGGTATATAAGAAACTGTAATCAAGAATTTAAGGATCCACTTCCCCTCCTCCACATGGGTAATAACTATTATAAATTGAGAGTTTTTACATGTCTGTAATGCAAACATTTTCAACAAATAATATTGTTGAAAGCATTCTGGACAAGGTAATAGGCTGTTCATGTCACTCTGCATGGGTGTCTTTCTTCTTTTTAAACAAAACATCATCAAATCTGCTTTAAAGATAACAAAATTGATGTTGAGTGTCTTTATACCTAAAGGAAGGGACCAATTCAAACATCCCTACTTCTCTAGCTCACACATTATATCACAAGTTACTAATGAGAAGAGGCAGGATCAAACTACTCTTGACAATCTTTTACAAAGACATAAAACTTTAGCTGTGTTCCTAATATTTAGATTATAGTGCAATAGGTATAGTGGAATTGCTGTTTTTCCATGTCTCTATATATTTATAACTAACAGGAAGAGGACTTTTTTCAGTGCTCTTGCAAAAAAAAAAAAATGAAATATCGCAGAGCAACTGTAATTTTCTCCACTAATTGCTAATTTTGTTTTGCATGGTTCCAGCTCAACAATCCTTTTTCTTGGCCAGCATGACCAGACAAACCAAGAGTTCTCTGCATAATATGATCATGTATACTAGACCTTCAAGTATACTTTGTTATTGTAACTTGTTTAGAGACCTTTAAGTTCTAGCCTTAATTTTATAACTATAGTTACCCATCTCTGAGACAAGGACATATACCACAATCGACATAAATGGCTGCAGAGACCAAATGTTCCAAAAGAATAATACTGTGTGTGGAAACAGACAGGTAGGCCACAGCACCAAATCTTGGCACCCATGAGCATTTGACTGTGATGCCGGGCAAAGACATAATAATCAATAAATGAGCAGAACAATGGCTGATCACCAGGTGACCATCAAGGGAAACAGTGGAGTCCACGCTTAAGATAGCACATTGTTAGCTGTTGTTAATGTCTGCTTAGCTGTGGTCCAGGTCCAGGACCCAAATGTTTCTACACGGCAGGTACATCTCTTTGCACAAATCTGTATGAACACAACTGACTCTTTCATGGCAGAGTCAAGAGAAATTTGAATACAAATGCTCGTAGCTGTGTTTCATTTGGTAGAACATAGTGTATCCCCATAGCTAGAGCTGGATGGACTCATCTGGAATAGAGGAAGAGCATTTTAAGTGAGAAACGCAGGTAATTATGTAATATGGTATCTGATGAAAAACCAAGTCATCTGAATTTGTGATAAAGGAGATGGAGACTTGCCAATATTCTCCCATGAATTACACACAGTCTTAGTTGAAATGGATTACTTCAGGAGTTGATTTTTTTTTTTTACTTCCTCTTAAAAATTAAGTGAATTTGCTCTGGATGGTCTGAATATCATCTGATTAGTATCCATGAATTACAACAAATAATGCTATTTCCAAAAAATCCTGTCATAGGAAAAGTTTTGGATAAGGTAAAAATTGGACCAGAGCAAAGTGTACTGACTATGTCTTAAGCTCGTTTTAGAGGTAAGACAGTAAGGATGAGTGAGTTTTCAATCTGCACTCTGCCAGCTGAGATATAACATAAACATTTGCTAGTCCTAAAAGGACAATTCCATTGTGTTTTTCATGATGGCACCCCCCAGAAGGAGTCAAATGGAACAGCATCCTAGTAATCATGGATTCTTTCATAAAACCCTAGTATTATATTTTCACTCAGCTATTGAAACTTAGCACAAATGCTAAGCTGCATTTGTGGTTACACTAATGCACTATTCTTTGAGTTAAATACAAAGCACTTCAAAGATGAAAATTACTATACATCTTAAGGTGGCTATTTTAATCTCCATTTGTAAAGAATTTATCCAAGAGAGAATTGCTGAGTTAATTATCTTCAGCAGTGGCTAAGAATAGTTGCCTTATTTCTCTTCCTGCAATCTTTACCTTTCATCTAGAATGTAGAAATTTATTTTCCATGAAAGGGCTTGGTTGTTTGACCAGAAAACTTTCACCTTTGCGCAATGTAAAAGCTGCTGTAAAAACAATCCCTGTGCACGTATGCAGTCTCTCTGATTACTGCTGCCATTACCCACAGGACTTTGTTTTGATTTTACTAAATGTTTACTTTTCCAATAAACACACTTACACTTGAGTGACTGGGGTGGTTTTCAGGGCTACAGGTCAACAAGCAGAAGTGAGAATCATTATTCTTCACCCACCTGGAGTGAAGCAGCTCTGGGAGTGCCTATTTGTGTCTTGACCAAAGAGAACTATGAAGGAAGAGCAAGAGAGTGAAGAGATACACCAGGGGAGGGGATCCAGCCCTTGGACAAGAAAGGAATGTATTCCGAAGAATGGTTTAAAACAAAATCCCTGATCTCTCTTCCCTTTCCCCACCACCCTGTCTCTCTCTGCAGACATGCTCACACATACACACAAAATCCAAAAGCCAGTCAACTACACAAACACTAGAAGGGGAAGGACCTTTTCCAACTCAATCTGTGAGGCCAGTGTTCCTCTAGTACCAGAACCAAAGACAGCACAAGACATAAAAGCTACAAATATTGAATATCTCTAGTGAATATAGACACAAAGATTCTCCACAAAAGACTAGTAAATTGAATCTAGTACACTCAAAAAACATTAGACAGCATGGCTAAGTGGAATTTGTCCCAGTACATGAGTTGTTTTGAGATCCCAAACCCAAACAATGAAATATATTGAAAAGACTACAGGACAAAACCCACATGATTACCCTACTAGATCCAGAAAATACATCTGACAAAAATTCATTACCCCTTCATGAAGAAAGTAGTCAACAATCTAAAAAGAGAAGGAACTTTCTGAACCCAATGCAGTCCGTCAATAAAACACCCACAGGTAGTGGCTTCCTGGGGAAAGGCACGATACTTCCATCTAACACCAGAGCAAGACTAGAGTGACTGCTCCTGACACTGTCATTCGGGGCTGCACTGAACTTTTCAGCCAGGCAACTAAGCTACAACCAGAGTACTGATGGGAGTGTGGAGAAATCAGATTTCTTTACACTGCTGGGGAAATGTAAAATGGTGAAGCTGCTGTAGAAAACAGCCTGACAGTCCCTCAGAAGGGAAAGAGTTTCCATATGACTCAGCAACTCCACTCTGAGGTACAGATCCGGGAGAATTAAAGGGCATGTGCTCACAAGTAAAGATGAGTGAATTTTCATGACAGTATTCACTGAAACAGCTCAAAAGGGGATGCGACCCAAATGTCCATCAACTGATGAATGGCTAAACAAAATGTGGCATGCTGTGCTATGGAATATTAGATAGCCATGAAAAGGAGCTAAGACTTATGTATTCATCAGGGATAAGTCTGGGTAAGCACACGCTAAGTGAAAGAAGCCAGACAAAGGCTACACATCACATGATTCCAGGGATATGAGAGGTCCAGAACAGGCAAATTTATGGAGACAGATAATCAGTTGCCTGGGCCAATGGGCTTGGGGACTGAATGTTAATGGATGTGGAGTTTGTTTTTGGGGGGTGAAGACTTTCTGAAATTGACAGTGTTGATATTTGCACAAGATTGTAAATATACTAAAGCCATAAATTACTCCATATAGCCCACCCATTTAAAGAGAATAATTTGTGACTACAGATACTCATTTTTATGTTTACTGATACTCATTTTTATGTTTACAGAGCAGAGAAAGTCAGGCTTCTGAGAAATGTAAGTACTTGCCTAGAAAGGCAGTCTCTGTGAAGTCTGTAACAGCTTAATTACTTGAGTTGTCAACTGTCAAGGAGGAATGGGTTTTTGTGACTTAAAAGTGACACAAGCCAGGAACTGGCCCATCTTGCTGGAAATAATTTTATCCCATGGATATGTTGAGTCTCTGTTAAGCAGAGATAATACCTTCTTTAAACAAAAGGCACAACCAGTTGTGCCTCTGTTTCCTAGCTAGATATATTTTGCCTTAATCTCTTACAAAACATTTAACAAGTTGATTTGTTACAGGGGAGCTAAATTTCCCCTTTGACAGAATAAACTGAATACAACATGAGTTTTTATTCCTTCCTCATCTTTGAGGACAGAAAACAGAGCTAATGTTTGATACTTATAATTCCTAATGTTTCTATTTCATTTACTTATTTATTCTTAATTGATTTCTTCTCTCTCTCTTTGCATAGAACTTATTTATTCTTAATTGATTTCTCTCTCTCTCTCTTTGCATAGAACTGTGGTGCAATGCAGATGTGTGTGTGTTCTGACAGGATTTCCCAGAGACAAAGCAGAGTAGGGAGCAGAACAGGTGGGACAGAGGTCTGCTGCACCCATGTGGGTCAGCTCCCTGGCCTAGGATCTAACTCAGGCCATAGTGGTGACAGCACTGAAACAATCCCTAGGCCACGAGTGAGGCCCCACTGTTCCCATTTTATAGAAATAGTCATGCTTTTTTGTTACATGTGAAATTCTATATCCAGTGTGACATTAAAAAAGAAGTTCCCTACTGCCCAGCATGACTCTCTGTGACATGGAGTCACACAGAGGTCATTTATCAGAGGTGAAAATTTCAGCCCGGCCACAGAGAGTCCTTTAAGTAATTCAGTTTCCCCAGACAGGATCTACTTATTTTCATTCTAAGAAAATTAATTAAGGTAACTTGGCTGTCAGTGGGAAATGTAATTATGATCTATTAGAAATAACTGAGTCTTGAGGGCACCAAAAAGTCAAAATAATTTACCCAAGAATATCCTGGAATTTTCTCTTCATGAACAAAGAATGATACTAATGGAGTCACCCTCAAGGACTCTTATCAAATTTATAGGGACTCTTTGATCAGTAAAATGTGTTTTCCTATATATATTTCCATGTGCCTGTATTTATTCATGTGCCTGTGTTAGGATGAAGAGAGCCAAGTGTGACAGAACTCAAAATACTTCTGTAATTTACTCCACACCCAAGGGAAAAACCCAGCTCTGTAACATGTTCACATCAGTTTGCTATGGGGTTGTGAGACCCCCCATTTAGTTATCAGCCCCCCATCAGGGATACACCCACTAAAAAGCCCTCCTAGGATAGAGCCTGTAGTAGCTAGAGGAAGAGACCTGTCTTTCTTCCATAATTCCATCAATGACATGGTCTCTAAATTCACTGGTCCCCTAAATTATCCCCTTTATGAATGAACCTCAGAGAATCAAAGCCACTTATCCAACATTCTTGAAACCCAGGCAGAAACAGAGACACATTTTCCCCCTTTCTTTCTAGAACCAGATTAAGTAAGCACCCCTGGATGGGGAAACACATTTCAGGTACACAGCGGGAGCCTTGCTAGATCAGACGTTGGGCTCCATGTCCTGTTCTCAAAGGCTGTCTTCCTCCTGGTAGGTAAAGCTTTACAACCCAGACTCTTGTCACTGGGCACCCGGCCCCAGCTCTAGCCCTCAGCACCAACTGTCCATCTGGGTTGAGCATGGGTGTTAGACCTGAACACATGCGGCTCTGTCTCAGATGCAGAGTCTTGCACCCAAAAGAAACCTTAAGCAACAATTAACTGAAAATACAAATAATCACTCTTAAGTTCTGAGATTAGAAGTAGAGGCCCCCAAATTGGGGAATGCCCAACAGCACACTATGCTTCCCAGGCCCAGAATATAAACCCTGCCAAGCGGTGGCATTCAGCTGCCCTGAGCACGCCGAGCACAAGGCCCCGGCTCCCAGGGCCCTTCCTGGTCTATTTTCCCTCAGTGTGAAGACTCACACATTTCCCTACAGAAATGCCAGCACCCTCGGGTCACCCTTGGGACCCTGAGGCCCTTGCGGCTATGTCCACATGCACAGGGCACACATGCTGTGTCCACTTCCTAAGGACTGAATGCTGACTTCCAAAACACCAGGCCCAAGCATGGCCTGGTGGTCTATTACTGCACTTCACTGCAGCCAGGGCCCCAAGTCCTGTTTGCAGCAGAACTATCATAGTACTTTCAAGCCTCACCAAAGCAAAGCCAATTGTGTTCATTTCTAGCACTGCCCCGTAAGAGTTTAAGCCAACGGGAAACCCAGCTAAGGAAAAACTGAGAAACCGTTAAGCAGAAACACAAAGCTGTAATCTATCATTTGAATGAGATAACATTCTGATAATGCTTTTTGAAAACACTGATTGTCAGAAGACACTTACTTTGTCAAAGACAAATTTAGAAGCTGGCCGCCAGCCGCTCCTAGTTCAGCCTGCTTCCCACAAAGGACCCTGGAGCAAACTCTAGGACTTATGGCCTGGTCCCAGCTCCACACCAACTGTACATTCATAGTAAGACCCAGTGGAGGACAGAGAGGTATACCGCTCTCCTGCAGGCGAGGGACAGGCGGGGTGGTAGTCTCCTTACCCTAATATATATATGGCTGAATAAATAACATCCCCTTTCAATCTTCTCACCTCAAGGTGAGACCTGACCTTCCTGTATTCCCACCAGTGATCTCATTTCCCTCTTGAGGTGCTGACCTAGAGCTAATCCTCCACCAGTAACTGTTAAGATAATAACACCAGCTAAGCCAAAAGTCCTCGTAAGGCAAAGGTGTGTGGCGCCAGGAGAGTGAGCACCATCCATAACCCCAAGTTCTTTCTGCTGAGAACCTGCCGACCTGCACCCCACTCTCCAGGCAAACCTGTCCGCCTGCACCACCTGCACCACCTGTACACTGCCCCCTCCCCAACCCATCCATCTGCATCACTTGCACAGCAGCCCCTAAGAACCTGGCCACCTGCACCCTGGCCCCCTAAAGAGCTGAGCCAGCCTCCATGGCAAGCAGATTCCAACGTGTCACCCATGGAAGCCCCCTGTAATGGGGGCCTCAGGTACCCCTTCTTCAGGTGCCATTAGCAACTGGGTTAAGGGTTGGTGAGAGGCGAGACTTCAAGCTAGAATGGCATTTGATGATGCTGTGAGGCTCAGGGTCGGGCTTCACCTGACATCAGGTATGAGATTCCCATGGGGCATCCCAAGCTGGCACAGAAACAGGAAGCGCTGGCTGCAGGCTCACACCTCCCATGTATTTTGAGTCAAAGGGCACCCTGGCTATTTTGTATATAAGAAAGCACTTCAGTCCTTTGAAGGCTTAAAGTACTGTTGTGAAAAGAAACCAATATTCTGGAAGATGCCTGTGATGGAAGAGTTCGTTTTCTATTACTTTGTTTGCACATAAAGTGTGGGAGTTCTTTGGTCAGAGATGCCTTGGGGCACCAGTGGTTGAGTCACTCCTGTCTTTGCTGGAAACCTCAGGCAACCTCTTTCTCGCAGCCTGGAAGGGAGACTCCTCCATTTCTCTTCAGTGGAGACTGTCCAAAAACACTGCCCATTCCACGAGGCTAGTAGAAGACACACTTCAAAGCTGGAACCCCACAGCCAGGATAAGAAATCCCACCCTCTGGCTGCAGCAGGTTAAAGCACAGCACTGAGAAGCTAAAGCCACTTCCGCATGA